TTTTTTTTTTTAAGATTTTCTTGCAAATTTTGAAGAGAAATTTGATATTGGCAAGATGTACCCTTCGAAAAGAATATTTTATAATATATATATATATATATATATATATATATATATTATAAATTATAATATTATAATTATATTTTATTAAATATTATTAAATATAATTTATATATTTATTTTTTAAATATAATAAAATATTATTAAATATAATATCATAATTAATATTTAATATAATCAAATTTTAAATAAATTTGTTGAGAAAGAGAATTAATGAGATTGGAGACATTAAAATGAAATTACAGGAAATTAAAAAGATTCATTCATTTTTATTTTAAACAATTTAAGGAATTAAATTTTTTTATTTTAAATAATTTAAACAAATTATAATATCAACAATCATATAAGCAAAAAGATATGAATATATATAGATAACAATAAATCTTATATAATTGAATTTGCTCATCAATCAAAAATATAAATCTTTTTTTACATTGAAACATACATATCGTCTTTAAATATTTTCTAAGCGTATATATTAGTGTATATATAAGCGTAATATTGTATATAATAATATTAATCTCTAATATTCACCAATTATAATAAATTTAATAAATTTTTTTTTTTCGTTTTTCGTTCAAAGAATGAATTCGAAGTCTCTGTATCTGCAATTAATTTGATTATATCGTAATGACAACATAATGGACAAGAGGCAACGGATACACGTTCATAGGAGCGGAAGTCAAGTACACACAATCAGGATCGGAAGTAATTCCAGTGGCCGAACTCTGTGATGGTATTGTTAGTCGATCTGCTGAATAATAATTGACATTCGGTATATTTACACTGTCACGATCGCAAAGTGTCAATATCTTTCCGGATGGAATGGAAACGTCACTCGGTAGCTTTAACTCCGTGACATGGTGTTCGTTCAGTATTTGCCGTGAATCTATGCCCGTGACTTCATCGTCGTTCCAAAGGTATATAATACGTAATGTAAAGATAAATTCAAATAAATCTGTTTTTCTTAAAATGTTCGATAAAAATTTGTTGTGAAATTTCTATTCTGTATTCAAACTTCATATTGGTGATATGAGATATGAGATAAGAATCTATTTAAAAAAAAAATGAAGTGTACTTTACCATTTACTGGAATTTTATTCAAATTAATTTTAGAAATAATTTTAAAGTACCCGATTTAATGGGAAATGATATGGGAAAAGAGGAAAATCGTTTCTCGTCTAATTCTTGTAATTTCTTATTACGGTCTTAATTAATTAAGGAAATTAATTAAGGAAATTATTACATATCACACGAATTTATAACAATAATATTAATTTTTCGTATATCGTAAAATTTCATCGTCTCATTTTTTTTTTTTTTTTCTCAACAGAAAATGGGCTGTGCACCAAGCAGATCATCGTGCAGGAAGGGTGGTATTCGATTAATGACCACGAGGCTTACTTTCACCAAAGGTCAGCTGTGCAACCTGAACACATATTTCCGTAAACTGGTCGACGAGGCTGAAAACGGTGAATAATTTCGATAAGCTTTATTTTTTCTTTTCGATTCGACAATAACAATATATATTGTTCGAATTCACATGATAATCATAAGATTTTTCAATGTTAAGTGTGTTCAATCACAGACGTTTCTAACGCTTTTGCGATCGAAGCTACCGTGGAAAAATTGGTTCAACGTTTAATGCGGGGTGCAAGCAATCTCGATCGAAGATTCTCGTCCATGTTCCTCGTTTCGTTGAACGAGCCACGACGTATAAAGGTAAATTGGCGGTGAGATCAAAAATTGCTGGTAAATCACACGTAATAATAACGGTGGAATCGAAAAATTAGAGAAATATCCGCGTGGCATCTCATATTTTTCAAGTCTTCTTCTTTCTTTTTTTTTTCTTTTCCCTTACCCAGCGACTCAGGTTCGAGTATCTTTTACGGATAGATGCATTATCGGCCTCGAGTTCAAATCCCGAACAAGAATTCGCTTCGAGCGTGCGCGTCGAGGAAGATGCATCTTTACCAGGCTTTATTCATTTAAAGATACTTGGGACAGGTGTTAAGGAAATTTGGAGGGAATATATAGACGTTGCAGGAAGGCTGAGAAGGGATCTGATAAAAGCGAGATTGGCAAATTTATTAGCCACATCTATCAAAGGTATTTTCCATTCTTGAATAAATTATTTAAAGGATGTGTATGTACATACTTGTACATTCCATAAGAAACTTTTATGGAATGTGATCTGGAATCTCGAACGTGGGATAGATTAAATAGAGAAAAACATCGTTGTTTCAGATACCACCATTGATACGGAAGATGACAGAATTTGCGTTTCGCCTGGTCAAGTAGTAGACGCCGATATCCTCGATAAAATATTGAAGCAGCCAGATCATTGCCGGATATTCTACGGGCCAGGTAACAACGTTTCACATTTATTATATAACAAATGTTTTAATTTCACCAGTTTAAATTCCAACTTGAATAAAATTCAAAGTTTTAAAAGAATTTTAAAACGTTACTCCACTCTTTATCTTTTTTTTCTTTTTCCTTTTTCCTCCGTTAACAAACACCACTCTACTTCTTTTGGAATCTCTCGAAACAGAGACGAAACTCTGTTCATCCACTCCTCAATTCTTCGTTTCGCGCCCTCAACGTAATACATTTTAGTTTGACTTCAACGTGTCTCCAAACCGTTTCAACCATTCCCTTTCTCTCTTCTCTCTCATCCCTCTTACTTTCTTCTTACCCTTTCTTCTTATCCCTTTGTACATAACCCAATATACTCCGAGTAACTTGGTTATTCGATGTACATACTTGGTAGTTCAACAAATCAGTTCAACAAAGCAAGAGATTGCATAACGACTGTAGAGAACTTTAGAAAAGACGATGATCTTGTACAACGATCAACCTAATCTCAAAATAATAAAATAATTTTTTTGGCAACAGTCCTTCAAATAACCGTATCGGGATATTTCCAGGTATTTTGGACGAATCGTTGCCGTGGAGGCGTGATCGAGTGGCCATGATCGAAGACAGCGAAGGGATATTGGTCAGAATCGGCGTGGACGGCGCCAAATCTCGCGAGGTCGAGGTTAGATTGTTAATCGGGATCGGTTTGTCCTCGTGGCCCTGTTTAACGGATTATCCTCAACGAATACCCCTCTATCATTGCGATGCTCTCCTTCATTACACCGCAGCACAAACCGTGAGTGTGGAATATTGATAATTGTGCACTTTTATTCTCTTATTTTCTTCCTTCACGACCGATTCATCGCGATCGATCGATTCTCGTTCATCGATTCCCGATTATCGGTTGTCTCGCTCCAATTCTCGAATATATACACGCGAGTGTATATCGAAAAGTGAAGTTTATCGACTCTCTCTCTCTCTCTCTCTATTTCACGAGCATGCGTCACGTAATTAGAGCATCGATTAATCTTATTGTATCGGTATTGTAGATAAACGATTATTAAAAAGAAAAGGGAGAGAGAACGCTTTCCATCGTTGGTGAAAAAAAACGTGGCCGTGAGAACCGCGTAAATTTCTTTGAACGAGATGGTGCAACTTGTTCGAGTGCACTTGTTTCCAATATGCGGAATCCGGTTTCCCTTATCCGCGAAAAGTCTCGAGAGCTCTCGTAAAATTCTGTTTCACACTTTTCATCCCTAGATAAGTATTGCAACAACCATATACCGCCGCTCTTTCATTATCCCTGGCCACGTTCGAAATACGATCTATAGTGTTCCAATCGTATAATGTATACAAGCCACGATACACACACGATGAGTAAACGAGAGTCGCGCGAAACATCCATTTGCGCGTGAATCCTCGAAGGAGAAGCACGAAGACTCGATTTTTCGTGTCGTGGGCCAACGTTTCAATTTGTATTCTTCCCTAAAAGGGGACAGATTCGTCCGTTTCGCGTCATCTGTTTGTCGCCTGTTTGTTCCAGGGTATGTACGCGGTGGCCGTTGGCCCGTGTACCGGTGCACGCTGCGAGAACCGAGCAACCCTCTGGAGGGTACGTGTCCCGGCAGCCGAGAAAATTATGAGCCAGCACTACGCCTCCGACAGCGTGCCTTCCCTCACCGAATCCGTGCTCCTCGAAATTTTGTACGAGTTACGGGAAGGGCGCAGTTCGAATTTATCGACGAAACCGAAGGTGATTCGCCCTTGGAAATTAATTTTTAAGCATCGAGCACGTTCAGTTTGAATTTCTTCGCGATTCAGAGATCTTCCACTTCCTCCTCGATGGATTTTATTCGAACGTCGTATCGTTTGTTTCCTTTTGCCCCTCACTGTCACCGGTGTCTGACAACACCTCTTGGAAATATCCCGTCGAGGAGTTTTCCAAGTTCCTTGACATTCTCATCTATGGGAATATTAGGCGCGCATCGAATGATTTTTCACATGACAATAATTCACAACGTGCATCTACGTCGCGAATACAAAACACACACAACTCTCTTCCCTTTTTCTTCTTTCGTTCCCTTTCGTTCCAGAGATTTCATCCCGACGATCGATGGAAAACAATCCCCTTCGAACTCGCGTTCGAGAATCGTCGAAATCTTGATAATATTCGAGCGCGATAAAAATTCATCTCGATCGAGGAAGGTTGGATATAATATATCGGTGAAAATTTTCTTAGGTGACGGGGGGAAACGGCGCACCATCGTCAGAAGTACGTTTACGAGTAGTTTCCAGACACATATTGAGAACCGTGCACCGTTGGAGGCTGGAAAGGGTAGGACCGGATCCGTTGACGAGCTGGGCGCCCGATACCCTCTCCCATCACGTTCTATTAGCGTTGGACGAGTTGGTCGCCGCTCTGAAATGCCAGAACTTGAGGTGTTACCTTTATCCGCGCTGCAACGTGATGCTACAATGCGCGAGAGGTTGGTAATTCAATTTGAGGGATGAAAAGGAAGCGTATTAGAAGGACGGAACCCCTTTCCTTCCCTTTCATTTTCCTCCCCCACTTTTCCTATCCATTCAATATCTCTTTCTTTTCTTTCCTTTCTTTTTTCCCCCTCTCCCCTTCGTTCATTTTTCGATACGATAAATACAATCAATAATCTCGGGAACGTGGACGACACGCGTGGAAACGAAACGAAACGTAATCGTCTGGTTTCCATGGAAATTCTTAATTAGTGAGGATAACGACACGTGCTATTATCGCGGCCGTTGAACGTATCGGCAATTTGTATGCATTCGTATAAGCTGTTTCGACGACGCGCCTCGATCGCATTGCCGTTTTTCATCCCGTTTCGACGCTCGTTTCATTTCGCGACACGCCTTGTATACATACATATATATATATATATATATATATATATATATATATATATATCGTACGATTGTTGTTGTTGCCATTTAATCGCAGCGCGATTTAATTAAGAAGAAATTGGAAAAAGTTTCGATACATACATTCCTGTTTTATTTGTCAAAGGTGGAATACCGTATCACGAAGAGTCTTACGCCTCCGATTGCCGTTCGTTGGAATCTTATTTGGAAACGCTTCATTCTTACTCCTTCTCGATAACGCGCAGCGTTGCCAGACCCCTCGAGCTTATGGAGAACGAACTTATCGTTAGATGGCGCGAGATCATCGCTTTGCCGCATGGAAGAGGATCGAGCAACGACGATTATCACGGATACAGCGAAAGGCAATTCGAGTATCTGACCATGATCGTGGGACAAACTTTGGCCGCTAGGGACTTTTTGTTACAGGTACGGAATTTCGATAATAGAGAGAGGAGAGAAAGAGAGAAGAGAAAGAGAGAGAATACTATACTTTCCACGTAGGACAATTCGGATAATCGCAGTTGCTATTCGAACTTGCCGGAACTATCGTATTGCGCCACGGAACAGGTGGAAAGTCTCGTGTTCCTGTTGAAGCTGATTTCGACGCAGGCTTGGGATCAGATTCACCTGGAAACGGAACGAAAGATGCGAATCCACGATCGTTACGCGGTGCCGAGGCGGAAGAGGCATTACAACACGACCAGTCAGTTCGATTACTCGATTGGACTTTTAATCGATGCCGTTAGAAATGATCGAGAAACTGTTAACACGGATTTGGAGTCGACGCCTGTGATGACCAAGATGCTTCTACATTGGCTACACTTCGGTAAGGATAAGAATAATTCTTTGATGGAACGATACTCGTTTCGATTAACTAAAAAATTTTGTTTCGTTTCGTTCAAGGCATGGAGAACGATCGAAAGATCCTCGAGCCTGTTCTACGTCCGTATTTGAACAATCTTTTCAACGGCACGCGCGAGCATGGTTGGTTGGCGACCTCCTGGAAGAGGAGGGAAGAACTTTACCGGGGCGAGATGGGATCATTGACGATGTTTTGCAAATCTGTTGTGACGGAGGAAATTACGCCCGGTAACGGGATCGTGGATTATCTGTCCAAGGGGTGGCGTTGGGCCGAAAATATGGCGAGGATGATCGAACGTTCGGGGAACTCTTTGCCCCTGATTTTCCTTCCCAGAGACAGAACGATTAAATTCGATCTAACGTTCGCGGGGAACAAAGGGCCCAGCTCGTTCTCAACTTGGAGCAAGGTTAGAAGTGTCAGCACGATCGCGAGGAGGAGAAGGAGGAGCATATATTCCAGAGCCAGCGAGTTATTCGATTACCTGACGGGATCGCAAAGAGCGTCTGACTACAATAATGGTAAGATAATGATGATAAAAAAAAAAAGAAAAAGAAAAAGAGAAAAGGAATTGCTAGCTAAAACTTGACACGATAAATTAGCGAACACAGCTTGCTTAAACAAACTTTACATTATTACGTTCCATTCGATGGAAACTTGTCGTTGTATTATTATGTACAAGTATAATAAGGTTGGATGTTTGAGTTTTAGAAAATTAATTAGATTCGCACTCCACCCCCTCCGAGTTCTTGTTTTCACGAGCAAATTTTAGTTTCCCTTGTTCGAAAATATCCGAGCTTCTTACGAATGAAGCAACATCGAGTGAAATTAATTATTTCCCAGTTGTGTATATATATATATATATATATATATATGGCGAGTATTTAGCCTGGCTGAGAATCGACGAGAAAAAAGCCAATACCGTAGTACGGTATCCGTACAAAAAAAAAAGGAAAATCCCAATGGCAAAATTTTTATCAATATTCGGCTTTCCCCGGAATGAAAGAGACTTTGTTCGTAAAATAATTAAAAAAAAAAAAAAAAAAAGAAAAAGAGAACGAACGAAAAATATCAATCTTCATTTTTTCCTTTCTTCTCTTTATTTCAACGAAAATTTTACGCGATGTTCACTTCTCATCGTCGATATCATTTAAACGCATATAACCACCACGAGTTGTTCGAAAATTATCCCAATTATATTATGAAAATCGTGGCATCGATATACTTTCACCAAGGCTACCGAGTATCCTATATATATATATATATAAATTTCTTCTTTTTTTTTTTTTACAAATCTATCTAGCCGCGATTGTGCACGGCTAAACGTGCTCGGCATTAAAAATTGAACGAGGAATGTTATTCAACCGGGGCGAGGCTAAACGCGCGGAAGTGACAAAGATTTACGTTGACGCGAGGAGCGGGGGAATATCATACGCGGGATGGAAATTCGAGGTGGAAATACCTCGTGCGATGGATGAACGGTTGAAGCCGGCCGGCACGGCAGAGGACGGGTATCGCGTTTTAAATCAACGTCCCCCGTTTCGATGACGTAGGCAAATTTCTGGCGCAACCGTTTTACGTAAGGCGAGGCGAGGCGTACGTGTACCGCCTACAGGAAGCCGAGCAAGCAAGATCAATATTTTTGTTAGGGTTTGCAGGACACACGGAATTGAGGGATGCCAGCCCTTTGACGTATGTCGCGTCGATGAGCAGATCCCGAACTCGACACCGCGGCCCCGGAGATCTAATCTCTGCCATCGTCTCCCTCGGTAAATTCAGGGTAAGTTTCCACCAAAACACTCTTTCCTCTCCCCCTCCTCTCCGTTTCTTCTCCTTTCCTTCGATCGAACATGTTTCAGAGATTATTGAATTCGGATTACGTCTTTATATTGAATATTATTTGTAATTTGAAAAAGATGAGATTAAAACGAGCGTACAATGATGATGTTGATCAACAATCAGACACATAAATTGACACATAAATCATCGATTATAGTTTCGGCTTGAATATATATATATATATATATATATATATATATATATATACAGATCCAGCTTCATAATATTTGTCCGTAATAATTTTCCAAAACTCGCATCCTCCTTCGCGTTTCCACTGTTTGCCCGAGGTTTGGAGTTTCGGCCCGGCTTTCATTCCGTGCCCGGCAAACGCGAGCCACCTTAATTACACACAGTTCGCGCAGTTTCATTAGATTAGACGAGCACGGATTTCCGGTGCACGGAAGGCAATTCCAGGACAGTAATTTCGCCCAATGCGTTGGGAACACGTTGGGGATCCACGACGTTGGATCGACGACGACAATAATATCGAGAGGCGGAACTCGAAGAAGTTCGCAAGACTTCGTTGCTCGAGTTCTGCCATTTCCGACGATCCGCTTCTTCCTTGACACGCCACCCATTACTCCCATTACTCTTATATCTATCCATGTGTATATATATATATAGGTTGAGTGGCAGTCGATTTAATAGCGACGCTGATAACCGTGTTAGGATCGACTAACTCCTTTAATCGCGATTAATCGCGTACGATATGAAAGGATTGATTGGATGAGACTCGAAGTCATGTACGCGAAAAATAAAAAAAAAAGATCTTGACATACGCGCGGGTGTGTGTATGTGTGTGTGGGTGTGTGATAGGGTGGAAAGAACGTTTATCTCCCTCCAGGAAACTTCTTTCTTGACAACGAGAATTAAACGTCGCTCACACGTCGCCGTTTAAGAGACCCGATCGTTCCTGCATCGTTCCTCTTTTCCGTTCGCATGAATCTCCGACGAATATAAATTGACTTTTAATCGGGGCGCAAATAAGCGTTAATGGGACGTGTGTATTAAATCACTCTTTTTTTTTATTTATTAAATATAAAACATTTTGGCCGTGGTAGCAGAAATCGGCAAATCGAGGAGAAATCGCGTACCATTTCGAGATACGCGGAATTAAAAATCCTTTTTTGTTTTATTATTTTTTTTTTCAGTAAGGAAAAACGCGTACAATTCATATTTTATGAATTTTATTCTTAACATGAAATAACAACGGTTATTTCGTTTTGTTTTTTGTGAAAAATAAAAAGGATTTAAAAAAAAAATAGTTTTGGAAATACGATTGAATTTTTTCGAAATAACTTTACAACATTGAATTAAATAATTATTATGTATGTATGTATAATGTATTAATTAAAGTTATAAAGAAATATATTATATATTAAAGTATTTTCGTATTTTCGTCTCGAAAATAATAGAAAAATTAATTATAAAATTCATTTTTGCCATGTGATATTTAATTTCGAATAATACTTTCTCCATTAACATTATTTTATTCGCACATTTATATTCGTATAGTTTTATAATAACAGGAGGAACGAGCGGAGCAAATACTTTATTAATTTTAAACGATAAAGTGAATTATCGAATATCATAGAGATTCGCAACAATTTCTTCGGGAGAAAGATTCTTTTTTAATTTTTCTTCGTATCTAACAATAACTCGATTACTATACAACACTGACAATTTAAAGATATACGAAACCATAAATTATATATATAAAAAAAAGGAAGAAATACTATAATAATCGGAAAAAGAATTTTCCACGAGAGAATTTATTCTGTGTACATTAACGCTGTTGTAATTGAAACCAGAGCAACATTTTTTTTATTACTTTTAATGTTGCGCTCGTTTAATATCTTTAATGAAGTTATTCGCTTATTCAAGCGTGTAGTAGCAATTGTTAATTAACTCAGACTTATTATTTCCGAGGGAGGAGGGAGGAAGGGCGAAGGTTCGAACGCCAAGATTAAGCTTGATTACAAGCGTAATCAAAGGATGTATTTAAAAAGATGGCCGTTTTTTTTTTTTACTAAGCGCGCTTCTTAATCTTCCGCGTAGAAGAACGACTTCCGTTTTTCTTGCATTTTCAACCGACAGTTTGAAATCCGGTTTAATGCTTCGGGAAAGCCGGGGACGAGAAACTGCGAAGTGAAACCTCGGTTTAAGGAGAGATCATAAAATCGGGTTGCGACGTTACTTCAAAGGATCGTGTTACCGTAATAACGACGAGAAGAGTTGCCACAACGATAGTACAAGAAGTAGGGAACGATGTTCTTGCAAAACGTGTACTTACTTACATGTGTACAGACAGTTTGATAAAAAAATAATCCTCTCGTTGGACATTTAATCATTTTTGAACAAGAATGATCGTTCAAGCTGTAATTTGATCTTCGATTTTATTTTTATCTTTTACGATAATATTCGAATATATTAAAAATATATAAATGTGTAAATTACTATAAAAGAAAATTATGGTATGACTTCTTGAGTCGAATTGGACAAAAAAGAAAATAAGAAAATATGAAGAATAAAATATAAAATATTTAGATGACAATTAATACGTGCTATTTTTATTTCAATATAATACATTGTCTTTCGCAATAAAAAATCAAGTTAACAATTTTCAATCAAGTCTAATAACTATATCGAATTAAAATATTTATAATTGAATCGATCCTATTACTATTACCAGAAACGTCATTTCCTTTTTACGTACAGAAAAATGGAAATAAAATTATCCGATAAAAAATAAATGGTATTCTACTACAATTGTTTCAATGGCGAAAATCAGAATAGAAGAATTTCGTTGAGGAATATATTTTAATAACAATAATAAAAACCGTAAAAATCAAATCATTGGATTCATCGAAATGACGATTCTTCTTCCCGTTCTTTCATCCAGGTGTCAATTAGTAAGAGCTTATCTCTTCTAAAAATCGAGGAACAGAAGGAATGCAAATTGGAGAACACGAACATTTAAAGTGGATTAAAATTTGTTTTTTTTTTTGACCATCCATTAAGAAAAATCGCTCAACCTTGGCTTCCCGAAACAGAACACCCGACGAGATTTCATCGGGATTCAAAGGGATTTTCTCGAAGGTTAGCGGACTCTTTGGATGGCCTTAAACGTTTCGGCATTCGTGGGAGGATCCAGTTAAACCAATCCTAATAGGTGTCAGCCAGGGTTCGGGCGGGGGTTGGACGTTAGGCCAATCCTCCCTTGTCGATATCTGTAAAGCGACGACCAAATTTTTCGTCAGCCACGATCCTGGGGATCCTATTTTCCTCGACTAACGCCGTTCACCGAGAAATTCTTCGATCCTCTTTTCCTCGGATGAAGTAACACCGAGCTAACTTGCCCACCCAACCCTTCGATCCTGCCTGCCAACCATATTTGCCACGGAAAATCTTTCCCTCTTTGTCTCTCTCCTTCCTCAATTGTCTTGGATTCGCGTGGATCTTCCATTCTGAAAAAAAAAAAAAAAAGAAAAAAAAGGAAATCGCACGAACGAAATTAAAAATTCAAATTCGTTGCAAACGGATGAAATAAGATGAAAAAGGACAATTTGATGATCGTATACTGAATCGATAAAACCATGTTCGATTTTCTCGCGTCGAACATGGCAGTTACAATTGGAATTTTCTTGTAGAGGTTTCTGAGACGATTGTTACTTACCCGATTAATGTTCTCATCGTTCCAGGTATCCGGGATGGCCGTTCTTTCGAACAAAATAAACGACGTTCGATTCTTTGCTCGTTCCCCGTCTGGTCTCCCGCGAGACAGTGGACTTCAGTAACGTGTTCAAACCTTTCCAAACTTCGTGCGACACAAAGCATTCCCCTGTCTTCGTCTCTTGCGCGAAACATTTCTCTCTCTTAAGAAAGAAAGATCTTGTTTTATTTTATTTTATTTTATTTCGATAATAATCGATTTAAAGAAGAAAAAAATATCATCATCGTTGGTTATTTCTTCGACTTTGCGCTATTGTTATCGCGGATAATAAGTTTCTCGAAAGAAAGAGATTTTATCGTGGGTGAAATGCGGAATCAGTTTTCTAATTGAATAAAACTTCGATGCTCGAAGAGAATCTCGATTTAACTTTGTTAAATTTCTGTTATAGATAGATAGAGGAAAACGAAAGAACGTTATCTTTTTTTTTATCTTTATAAATTTTTATATCTTTATTTGTCGAATAAACCTAAGGAAAATCGTGCGCTCTCGTTAATTTCATTTAATTTCCGCGTGTAAATATCGTTCCCTGGCGTAATTTTATCTCGAAAAAATTTCGATTCGAAGTTCAAGTCCTCCTCAACGGAATCCACTCCATCTGAAATCGAACTCCATAGTTCATCTTCGAGTAAGCAAGTTTATTTGCTAGGATCATTTGATTAGATTAGAATGGAACGGACAGGGGATTCGTCACGATTTTTCCTCGTATCTTTCCATTTTGATTTTGCCTCGAAAGACGAAGTAAAAAGACGATACGGGCTGCCATGTTCCTGGCATTCCGAATATGCATGTATTATATTTCCAGACCCACCAGAAAGCGAATAAAAAGGGAAAAAGTGAACGCGTATTTACTTTGCCCTCTCGCCCCGAGGAGTTGCCTCCTCCTCTCCTCGCCTCCATCCTCCATGTGCCAGCTAACTTTCTACTTAAGGAGCGATTCACTCCCCCTTATGCTTATGGAAAATGCGTTTTGCGCTTCGAAACTAAGTTTAATCCTGACTAAAACCCTCCAAACCCAATCTCTCCGTATCTTTCTCTCCTTCGCAGATTTCAGCGTGCTCGATTTATCAAATATTCCTTTCCCTCTCCCCCTTATTTCTTTTCAAACACCTTGCTGGACACCTTGCTTAGGTAAAAGAAGAGAAAAGAAACAGTTTCTCCTTTTTTATCTATCGTGTAAGTTTCTTTTTTCTCTAGAATAGAAGAATAGAAAGAGAGAAAGAGAGTTTTTTCCTGTCACAGGTCGTGCAAGAAGCGGCCGCCTTTTTGCCACGAGAGGAGCGGGTGGTCGTGTTGGACGCGGTGCAACGCGTGGCCAGAGAATTCTCTCGTCGCTCCTCGAGGAAGACCGGAAGCGTGTACACATCCGACTCGCCGAGACAGCTTTATAGACCGAGGTACGATTGACTCTAAGAAGATGCCAGTTTCGAAGCTTCATTAATGGCGCGCGGTTTTCCTTTGATTCATCTCCCCGACGCATAATAGATACGCTTTTGTTCGTCCCAGGCCGGAGACGGATCTCTTGGATTCACCCCCACGGCCATTATCGCCGGAAATAAGGGAGCGGCGAATCATCGCCGAGCATCAAAAGCAGCTCGAGAAGGAGATACAAGAAATGCACGACACTTTGAGACGCGACGCGTTGAGGAGGCAGTTTTCTTCTTGCAACACCTGGGACTCGAATTCGTTGTCCTCTTTCAACTCATCCATAGATTCCATAATGGGGACGATCACGCTAAGGAGATATCGCACTCCAATTTNTATATATATATATATATATATATATATATATATATAAATAAATTATTGTAATATATATTACATATTACATATCTTTTCTATTTTATTTTTATTCGGTCGATTTCGTGGCCTTCGAATATGATGCTATACGATAATTCGCAATTCATAATAAGAGTGTGTATATAAACAAGAGCGTACGCAGTTGGTTTCTTAGAAGAGTAGATTACGATAACGGTATGAAAACAACTTTTTCAATTTCAGGGAATTCGTCGGTTCGGTCGAGTTTACGCCAGAATCATAACACGGGCAAAGGTAAATTCAATACAGAGATGATCAGTCGAGAGGAGTCACCGACGTGGAGCACAACACGGAGCGCTCGAAGCAAGGAATTGGACTACGCCGAGTCGAAGAACGAAGACGAATTGCCATCTTGGGACGCGCTCGAGGCCACTCTGAATAGAAGGCTGTGTAATTACGGGGACGCCTTGCCGGAATCTTTGGAAACGGACGAAAGTGTTGGGGAAAAATTAGGGGAATAAACTACGGGGGAATAATTCCCCCGTAGACGCTCGGAAAATCACTTTTCACTCTCGACGAGACGAGTTTCATCCGAAAGTGTTAGGGAAAAAATAGAGAATAGAGTTTTAACATACGTTGCGCTCGAAATACGTCGCGTGTTCATCGATTGTGACGTGATATCCAAGCTGAAGCGAAACATCGATGAATAGTTCGCGACTCGACAATAGTTTGTCCGGTTTTTGAAAGTCGTCAAATAAATGTTTCGGGTATATTTAGTAGGAAGATGCTTGTATCAGAGCTTGTTCAAATCCGTCGATGAAACTCGTCGATGGGAAACTTAATTCTCGTAGACAACGAGCAACTTCACGCCTCGAAAGTGCTCTCGTTTACTCTCGTAAGTACGTAACGATTACACGATGACTGTAACCTCTCGTAAAACTAGATAGTGGAATTGGAACGTCGGTTTCAATTTTTAATCCAAGCTCGAAAATGATTCGCCTGATTCAGATTTCAACAATTTCTCTCCCTATCGAATTTTCCAAGTGATTTTTATTTCTCGTTGTATTTCGTTAATTAAAGAAACATCTATGCTTTGTATCTTTTTCGTATCTTTTTCGATTAACGTGGACCGATTTTAACAAATACAACGAAAGTAAAATTCACTGGCAATCTCCTTCCTTCCATCAATCTTCACCACCTACGGCTACTCCACGACCGTACATTTTTATTAAAGATCCCTTAATAAAGCTTTCCTTTCGTCTTTTTTCCTGACGCGAAATTTCTCTCCTAGTATTTTTATTTAACGCCCAAATTACGTCGTGCTCCTTGTTGTGTTGCGCAAAAAATATAACCTTGGATCATGTTTGGCAAAGATTATTTGCTCGCAATCACACGAATAGAATAATCTAGTTATTCATTTGTACGTTCAATTCGTTTATTCATAACCGCGATTCATTTTATTCGTTTACATTTACTTTTTTCGATTATCGTTTCGCCGGCGCATAAATCGGCAGCGCATTCAATTCAAGAAATTTTCTAAAACAGTTGTTTCGAAACGAGATTCGATATATACGGGAAAGTTCGGCTCGGTCAACGATTTAACGCGAATTTTGGAAAACGTGGATCGAGGGTAATTGGAAGTAGACAGACAGGGGTTCTCTATGAGGCCGCGTTTCGATTAACTAAATGTAAAAAAATATAGGTTTGCCAACGGCCACGTAATTGCCAATTAAACTCACTGGAATGAGCAACATTGTTCGAGCACTATCGATGAGCGATTGAGCTTCACCCACGTGAACTCTAATCGCGTGAAATTTCACTGGAAAAGCTTGAAACTTGTTTTATCACTCTCCATTCTCTTTTTTCCCATACTACACGATACTTTAAATATATAAATTAGATAATATATAATTTAGATAGAATACTACATAGATATACATATATATATATTTATAAATCTTGACCTCGAATAACTATAATCCCCCCCTCGCTTCCACAATATAACCTTCTCTACAATTAACTCCTAATTCGTTCCTCTTCTCCAGACCGCTTTCACAATTGGTGAATCGATCGATCGAGTGCGCAGCGTGACGAGAGCCGAGTACAAACAACTATGCGTTGGTCGTCCTCGATCGTCACAAGATCGGGGGAGGAGGGGGATGCATCGATTGAATTCGATAAGAAGAGAAGATAAGAAACGGAGCAGCTGGATGCTGGATGTTTGGCGGTCAAAGGGTAGCGGGAAGCTTAAGGAAGGAGGGCTGAAAAGAGGAAAGGGAACGAGATAGGAGAAAAATGGAAGCGGGAGCGCATCATCGTCGTCGTCGTCGTCGTCGTCGTCGTCGTCGTCCTCGTCGTAGTCCTGGAGGGTAGTATTGTAGGCGGGGAGGGGGTAGTGTTGGTTCGGCCGGGCTGCTTCCGTGTATTCCGGGGGTGGTTTTGGTGCGCGCGCGCACCGGGGTTGCGCCGTGGTTTCATCTCAGTTTCGCAGCCTCCCTTCCGCGGTCCGCATCAACTCTGTCGTCGCTGTCGGCACAGAGGTGTGTCGCCTCGGTGTCCGCGTTTTTCCGCGTTCCATCTCGCGTTCCATCCCCAGCGTTTTCCATTCTTTCGGATCGGGATTAAGATATTTCTTTTCGTTGGAGTGCGGAGGGGGGACTCGAGAAGTGAGAAATAAAAAAACACCTGTCTTCTATCCCGTGTGCGAACAACATTCACTATGTAACCGTGAGATAGGTGATCACGCGACCACCACTCGCAGGACGATGGTGCGCGATGCGGATCCAGGTCCCGACGCGTGTAACCTGGTAAGCGAATCTAACAATTTTCTCGTCTCGTCGAGATGCGTTGTTACGTTATTTACGGATTATATCGTAGCAATATCCTCGTACAATCCTCCTTCCACACCGTCCTCCTTCTTCTCCACGTTTATCCTTTATCGACGACGATCGATCCTCGCCTTGATCCTCGTATCCCCACATATCCGCGCGTGCATTCTCCCCGATTCCCGAAGAGACTCCTCGGCGGATTGGCCATTGATTTTTCAACGGAACGCCCGTTCCTCCTCTGTTAATTGTCGGCCAGTTGTGCGCGAGCTGAAACAGTGAATTCCGTTTTGTCGAGAATGCCCTCGAGAGAACAGAACAGATTCTCTGTACAGGTTTGAGCCAGGGCCAGGCGGAGAGCACCCTTTGAACACCCCCTCTCCCCTCTTGACGTACCGTCATTACGGCTAATGTACTTAATCGTCGGAAAATCGGTGGAAACTGCACGCAGTTAGAGTCGAAAGCCCGAAATTCGTGGCTCGGTGTATCGGGTTTTGGGAGTAAAGGTGAGAGGACGATGGACGAAATGCACCGCATATGCAAATTGTATCAAACTTAGACTGGGAAATCATTTTACGAGTTTGAAACGAGTTTTTCTCTACCACGGTCCGTGAACTACTTTCCCATTCCCAGTTTTTTATTTTTTTTTCCCTTCCAAATTTTCGATACTTTTTTTTCTTTTTTCTATTTATTTCGCGTAACACATTTTTCTTTGTTCGTTCATCTCTGTTTTCCAGCTATTTCTTTTTTTTTTTTTTTACGGTTCGAGATCATTTATTAAAGCAGCAATATCGATATCGTTTGATTTATGTCTCCGTCTATCTTCATATTTTCGGCGAAACGTTGTACGCTCGCGTTGCTTCTTCGATATACCGAGATCCGGCCTTCCGGATTTGCCACGTTCATGGATTTCATCCGGGAAAAGCCGACAGAGGAGAAGAGAAAAGACTTAATCCGGGCTAAATCTGAATAATCTCTCGGTAGCAGGACGATTAACGCGCGATTGTAGGTGGAAAAATTTTCTAAGAAAATTTCTATATCGTTCCTCTTTTCCTTTTCCCTCCCCCTTTTTCCCAGAATCTCCCTCGAGTAAATTCTAATTCGCGACATCTAATTTGCTCCCCCGCGAATAAATGGAGAAAATTACGAAGCAGTTTAGTTTGAACGAGTTAAAGGGAACGAGTTAACGAACGAAAGCACAATTGTGGGCCACGATAAATTTCGAGCTATTTTCCATCGAATTTAACTTAACAAAGGCCGGTCACGTTCCACGATCGTTCCATTAAACGATGCATCGATGAATGCTTGATGTCGCTTCGAGTCTCCGTCATTCGTTTCAAATAATCGGCCGTCTGCTCGATTGTCGAACGTCCTCTCCACGAGGCTACCGATCTACGACCTCCCTCCTTCCCTCCCCTCTCCTCTCCTCTCCTCTCCTCTCCCCAATTATCGAATGATCGATTTCGCGCATTCGAGGGAGCGTGTTCGTTTATAAATCGAATTGGTCGGCCCTGCGGAAAATGGAACAAGAGTTTTTGGTCGGAAGCCCGAGCCCACTCAACTCAATAACCGAATAATTCCTCCACGCGAGAAAGAAATTTAAAACGGGCTAGTTAGTCGATGGAAACGCTTACTTCCATCCATATGTTTTTCCTTCGAGATAAAATCGTTTTTTATCTCGAAGGAGCGATAATCTCTTCTCGTTGCTCGCAAGAAGAGCACGAGAGTACAAATTTCCCTCTTCAACCTTCTATTTCACCTCCTATTCCCAGGTAAAAATTGCGTTCTTTTTTTTTTTCCTCTCTCTCTCTCTCTCTCCTATATATAATTTTTCAATAAAGACAATAAGTTGCTATGCAGTCGCGTTGATTGATCGGTTTCTCGAGCGATGTGACCTCTTTATTTATAGCTTGGACTGGAGGAAAGTTGCGAAGTAGTTGCACAGAGGCTCGTGCCAATATCCCCAGGTCTAATGACTCTTGGAAATGAAATTTTTGCCCGGTAAACAAATGCACATTTGTCTTTGTCGAAACGATGTGGCCGCCTTTTATAATTCGCCTGTATATACGATCTACGTGACTGCATGCTATAAATATATATATATATTTTCGGTAAGAATGATTATGCATCCACCAAATGGTATCACAGATAAATTTTCGCGTGTTAATAATGATACACGGGTGGCGCACGCGTCGCGATTATCTCTGAATATTTCAACCGTTCATTTATACCGGCCAAATGGTTGACCCGAATCGAAAAAGAGCACGAGTCGAGGTGCTCTCTCGACGAGATTTTCCGAACGGATAATAATTCGAGCGTGAAAAAAAAAACATTACACATTTCCCAAATTATTAAGACCCAGCCCAAATTTTTATAGCTATCGAATTTATTTCTCTATTTCGTATAACTCTTCGAATTGTCCCTGTAATGGGACAAGATGGAACAACGGTAACGCCAATAGTAATCACGGGTTTACGCGTGGAGCGTCGAGCATTGTGGCCGCGAGAAATTCTGTTCCCCCAGAAATTCTGCCGGCTGTTCTCCAGTGGAGAGAATAACGAGCTTTGACCCGTTTCTCCTTCCCCTCTTTCACCCTTCCTCTCTTTCCTCTTTTCATAAATTAGTCAAATCAATTATGATTTCTGCTCCGAGTTTCAAACGCTCGCAGGAGATTAATCCGCTGAAGAAAGAAAAAGAAAAAGAAAAAAAGCTTGGTGGAAATGATGGAATCGTTGAAGTCGTTCGATATTCGGTTTTTCTTTATCCGCGCGAGAAATCGCAGGTTCGAAAGCAACAACACCAAGAAGAGATCGTGCCACGCTAATTTCCGTCCACCATTGGCGTGCGAGGAGTGGCGCCAAACACGGAGATTCGATGGTCAAGGAATTATCGAACACTTGGAAGTAAGTTCGAGGTGTCGGTCGAAGGAAACATCGAATAAGTGGTTTTGGCGAGTTGCACTCCTCTTCTCGAGAGGAGTGCTTTTCCTCCTCTCTCCTCCCCATTATCATTCCTCATCCTCTGTACCAGTTCTAGCCGTAAGATTTTTTTTAGGGGACTTTTCTCCTTGACGAGGATCGTCATCGAAGAGGGGGGATTTCTCGAGAAATCAACGAGAAATCGATGGGGGTGGAAAAAACAGGAGAGGTTTCGATGGGTAGAGAAGCATCTGTCGGATCGTCAGTCGTCACCAGTCAGCAGTTTGACTTAACTGGAACAAGCTGGAGCACCCCCTTGACCCCTTCCAACCACTTTCTCGCTGCACGATGATTTTCAGAGTGCTCGTCTCCCGTGTTTAACGTCCTCTCGTCCCGTCCCCTCTCGCTCCTTGCACGCTCGACCATACGGCATTCGCGGCCGCGAATCGACGAGAACGAGCGCGAGAACACGTGGTTCGACGATGGTGTACGAGACGCTTTCCCTCTTCCTTTCGTTTTATTAGGGACGAGGAAAGATTTCGAGATGTTTGGCCGTGCGAAACGCGTGCGCGTGCGGAACGCTTCTGTGCAGAACGGGAAGAAGAAAGGAAAAAAGAAGAAGGATGGAAAGGGAAGAAAGGTTTTTAATACCGTAGTAGCGCAAGGAAAAAAGAAAGAAAGAAAGAAAGAAAGAAAGAAAGAAAGAAAGGAGGCGATAAACCGGGGAAATTTATGGATCCGGGCTCGATTTATTTTCACTGTGTTTAATAGTGTTAGCGGATCGGGGGGAAAAAATTCAGTCAGAGGGGGGGAAATCTCGGATAGAATCTCGTTCGCTCGGTTACTGCGCGCCGGAGATGCTCCACGCCGATGTACACCGGCGTGGAATCCCGTAATTAACCGGCTCGGAATAATTAATGAAAACTTAGGCGTCTGGAAACGTCCTCCTCCAGGAATCGACGTTCATTTCCTGAAAATATTACCTCCTGAATTGAAGTCGAAGCGGAAATCATCATGGACGGGGACGAAGACGATTTACCTCTTTCGATAGTATCCTCGATCGTGTCGTGTTAATTCAATCGTATACACGTTCCATTTCCTTTATTATCCTCGTATTCTCGCATCGATGATCTCTTCCCAGATGGATAATAATTTTCGACAAATAAACGGATAAACGGGAAGACATCCCCTCAAACGAGTTGAAATATTACACGTTTCTTTACGCTCGCATTCTTTATTCCTCGCATTCCCAAAGTCTTAGCCGAGATATTGCATTGCGCCGCGGCGCACTTTGCGGTCTGCGTGTACACAGACTTCAGGTCGTCGGTATGTCTGGCGACCCGTACTACACGTGTTAACACCTTCGCGTCAAATGTTCCGTTTGCAGCTTCGAACGACGGAGTTTCTCTCGTTCGTTGTTCTCGTTCTCAACGTCCCTCGATGTCGAGAGAGCTACCTATTTAATTATATATACCTTCCCCCTCCTCCCGCATAGTTGATTCAATCTCGTTGATTCTATCTCTTCACCCCCTCCCCCCGCGAAACGTCTTGAAGAGATGCTTACACCCTCGGAAGAGAGGCTCCGGGTTACCAGGTTTTTAAAGAGGTTACGATTCAATGGGAGGCCATTAACAAGCTTGAATGGGCCTCTAACAGCTTCTAGAATTCAATTAACGCCTCTAAGATAGCCTCGCCGTTTCTCCACGATGCTTATCTCGAATGCTAGCTTTTCCTTTCCCTTGCAACCAAGAGTGTTGCAAGAGTGTTGCGTCTGTTTTCGTCGAAGCCAACGTGAATCATTGAGTGAAATTTTTTTCGAGGAATCCATCTTCGATTCGATTCGATATTATAACGACAAGAACGAGGACGAATATCGACGAAGTAAAGTAAACTGCTGTTCGTAAACGAGCGTGTTGGAAACGCGCTCTCAAAAGATCTTCCGCGGGCTAACGAACCTTGGCGGATTTCCCGACACAGAGTTTCCCCGCTCGAGGCACGAGGGACGCGCGTGTAACGCGTCATTTTCGGAATCGGAACCGGAAATTCTATTCCGGTCGTCCAATCGAATCCCAAGTTTCTACGGAAACGTTCGTCACGGCGCACAAAGCGCGCCTCTACGCGAGGCCACCAGATATCCTCTCGAAGGTGTGCACAAAGGTGGGGAATGCTGGCAGGAATTCCAAGGGAGATTCCTGCGAATCTTTTTAAATATTTCTATTAGATATACACTAGGAGAATAGTGCATTTTTCGAACGTGTATCTTCCATTTCTCAATGTTGTGTTGTTCAATTTGTGGAACTAATTTATAGCCGAGATAATTAATCGTTGAAATAAATATTTTATCCAGATACA